TGCGGGGTAAAAGTTCGAGGGAACACAGTGGTCGAGCGCCATTAGGAAGCAGTTGTAGGCACTCTAGCCTGTTTATCCTTGCGATAACGAGAAATTCTTGGCCGAGATTGCACTTGATAGCATGCGAAACTGCCGAGGGAGGCAAGTAGGTAGATAAAAGATGCATAATGGTGTCTGGTGGCAAGTCGCAGGTTCTCGGATCGGCCACACAAGCTTCGTCATGGCCACTCATAATCAGACGCAAAACTTCTTATGGATTCTCGTCGTGCTTATATTCATCAATAGTTATGGATGTCACAGAAAATGGTATGCATTCAAAAAGGACTGTCATTTACAGCTATCAAGAATTTGAAAAGATCGTAAATTTTCCGACAGACATTCAGACAGGTCGAGAAAGGGCTTAGCTGACACAATCTCGTGGATTGCGCATCGCTTTTGTAGTTCCTTAAGGAAGGCATTGGCTGTACCATTCTGGATAGGAGTGTTAGACTGAAATATCTAGGGTTGCTTGAAGATAGTATACATACGGTTGGAGACTGTGCATGTTCCTTGAGCGCATGTGGTTGGGCCGGTCCTAGATAACTCGTTAGTATGGATTCCTTCAGATATAGCCTCGTTATTTACCATCCTTGGCCACCGCATTGTCCTGTTTTATGAATTTCAGAAATGCTATGCGAGGTAGGAGTGTAAAGACTAACCGTAAAGAGCAGCTCCGCCAGAAGACGAAGATGAGGAGGACCTTGAAGTCGAACTAGACGAGCTGGAAGATCTGGTAGAGGTTGTCGAGGTGGAGGACCTGGTAGAGGTTGTCGAAGTGGTCCTTGAGGACGAAACAGAGGTGTTGGTGCCACCGCAGGTGAATGGACGAGGGCCTAGAATGGAGTCATTATTCGTTCCAACGGGAATGAGGGATTTAACCTACCAGGAATCACGTAGTTGGTCACTATGATTTGTCATGGGAGATCAGTTGAGGTCTCGTGCCAACTTGTTGATGACTAGTACTTACGAGGTGGGTACTGTTAAGGCATATTAGTATCAGATCGTTTTTGAATGGAAGTAAGACTCACGTAGATGCTAATTAATCCCAGGAGAAGTGGACGAGGTTAGACTGGAACGCAAACGGTTTATAAAAGATACTTGCTTGACGGTAATTCCTGGGTCAGATCCTACAAGAGAATTTCAGAACATGAAATCTCGTGAACCTATCTTGCTACTCACCAGCATAGGCACCAGGGAAGGAGACGGTGGCCGGGGATGCGCTTCCACCGCCGGTAACGTTGATCTGAGCACACTCCATCTAGACAGGAATCAGCATAGCCAAATGAAAACCGTACGTTTGCGTACATAGAATTGAGCACCTGTAGTCGGTTAAGTAAATGCGAGATGTCACATAGAGGGAAGACGAACCAGGATAAGTTCCGGCACCATGCAGAGCGATCAATTCAACACGGAGGAAGTAGTCTGCGATTGGTCAGCATCTAGATTGATCAAAATGGCAAACGACTTACTTCCGGGGGCGATGCAGCTGGGAATGGTGAAGGAGGTCTTGCCACCATTCGCAAGCATGGTGTCGACGGCCCAAGTACCATCCGAGTGAAGGCCATCTAAGAGAAGATGGTTAATCGAGGTACGACGCTGTCTTATATATAGCCCTTCATTACCTTCATAGATCTTGAACCATTTGAGGCCTGTCACATCCTCTTGTAATGCACTGTTGACCTTGGCACTGTGCTATGTGTGAGAATACGCCCATGCTACAAGTAAAGAGCTTACAGGTAGGCCATAATGGGGCCTGAATCAAGCATTAGGTTATTTCGAATATTCAGAATGGGGAGAGTGCTTACCCTTGTGGCTTGGGTCGATTGGATAGGCCTCAGAATGGTAGAAGGACGCCGCAACGGTGGCTTTAACCCAGTATTAGAATTACTCAAGAGGGGTCACTGGATAATTACCTCCAGCGGGTACGGTAATGATGGTTTGATCATAGGGCTAGCCAAGATATCAGTAATTCACTAGGAAGCGTTTCATTAAATGCTCACCGTGATCAGTGGGTTGGGAGGTCCATTGCAAATAATGCTGTTGGTAGTGACGTCCGTGACGGGCTAGTTTATGTTACTACTGTGTCCATTTTGTAGGTATGGGGGAGCTTACCCCGTTATAGCTGGGCACGCGAATGCCTTTGCTATGGGCATCCGTCAGATCTCTTACATGTACTGGGCTTGAAAGTCTTACTTGACACCTTGGGCGACGCCGTTGACGGTGAGTTCCTATGAAAAGAGCTTCTTGAGCGACTGTGTGGAAGGTCCTGACTACCGAAGAACCTACCCTGAAGATCGTGTGGGCAGCAGCGGAGTTGACCAAAAAGGTCGAGATGAGAGCAAGAGGGAGGATCATGGTGGTTGAGCAGCGAACGAAAGAGCCAATGGCTAAGGAGAGTAAGTCGGTTTGTGGGCTATAGTGCTGCAGAGCTACGCGCTTTATAAGGTCCGCCCGGCCCCAGGACGCCAAGAAGATATCCATACGAAAGTATAGAAATTCTTCGGATGCATATCATTGCGTTGCAAAGCAGCCAACGGTTTCTCCTCGGGTCACGCTCACTCTTCGCCAACATCTCGCAAATTTGTCTCACTAGCCAAGAGAAGCACGAGACTAGTCCCAAGGGGGGGGAAGGGTGCTATATAGCATCTTTAAAGCCTTGATAATCAATCGGAATGCGAGGCGATAGATGATTCGCTATCGTGTACCTGAGCCAATTTCTCCTTCTCTGTGGACTCCGCGCTTGCGTCCCAAAGACGGAGATTGATTGATGTCACCAACGGTAAAATATAGTGGAAAGCACTGAGATCTTGGTCGTCGTGGCGCGAGTATCGAATATACAACGCAAGATGCCAGTAATGCCGGGCCAGTCGCATGACCGTCCATGATGCGAAGTGAGCGCTCATCTTGACTAGATATGCATAATCATGTCACTCGGAAGATGAAGATACTTCGACGGTGCTATAGCTGGCTTGACTAGAAGCAAAGAGGTAGTAGCCAGATAGTTGTCCCTGACCAACCTGTTGCCGCGGAGTGCGTTTACACTCGACTCGTATGTTGAATGTTGATGCTCCTACACATGTTGATACATATTTCACTCTTGGTGAATACAGAAAATTCTGCCACGAGGTATGCAAATCTTATGATCACGCATTTTGAAGGAGGAAATGGACTATTCATAATCACTAAGAAAAGTGCACATGTTCGATTACGGACATAAAACCTATCTATTTGATTCGCCCGATCGAAATAATTTCCCTCAATACGCCTATGGCAGACATTGGCTGTAGAACGCTGCAATGGTATGAGATATATATAGATCTGAATAAAATAGCACCCACCATTTGAGTACTTGCATGTTCCTGACGCACACGTGGTGGGCCCGGTCCTACAAATCATCAGTTGCCGTCTCGAAGGTAAAATATTCGGAAGGAGTTACCATCCTGTTCCGCCGCATTGGCCTGTCGGGCATCAACGCGGTTAAATTAATTATCATGTATCAATAATATTTCAAC